CATCAAACAGTTTTCTGCTAGAAAACCGTTCAAAAGTTTCTCTCCTAGCTCTAGTGACTATTAGACTCTATTGCAAATCCATTCAGCCATGGGTTTGTACATCGTGCTGGAATGGAGTGGATTTCTGGTTTAGCTCTAGGCTTCTCTCTCACCAGATATGTGCAGTGGGATGAGCTCTTTGCGTGTTCCCTGAATAAGAGCAGAGGGAAGTACATTCCTAACATATATCTGCATCTGCTGCCTGTAGACTCCAACAAGAAACCACAGGCAAGTCAGACCCTTTTCTCCAGGGACAGTGTTGTGTTTATTCCTCTTATATGCACTGTGCTAGGTAAGAGCATGATACAATATCCCTACATAAAAGTCCATTGCCATCAAAAAAACACTAGTTAGCTTAATCAGATGTGTAACTTTGAATCTATGCAAATATGTAACTAAACTGTATTTCAACTCTTGTGCATAGCTACTACAGTAAGTAGTAGAAAGTAGAAATGATGTTGTAGCTGATTGCAAAAGTTTTGCTTTTAATGCTTAAGATTATCTAATGGCATACTGCTGCTTTCATTAGTTTCACAACAGGAATTAGCACTGCTGTGTGTCATAAAGAATCCTTATTCTACTTTCAGATTTCTTTAGCAAATGCTATAATTAAAAAAAAATAAGGAAAGAAAAATTATTTTTAACTACTCCAAGTAGGGTCAAATGGTAGACTTTTGGTGTGAAATTTCGCACATAGTGTGGACTGGAAAATGGTATCAAATGTGTAAGTTGGGACTAGCCATTTATTTGGGATTTGGTCCATTTATGAGGAATAGGTACATTCCAGTGACATATAATTAAGAATAGAATGGTTATTCCAGGTGTCTGTTAGTGAATAGTAAAATAATACACCACAATAATGGATGAGTGTGAGATTATAAATTATTAACCTTTCCTTCCCCTTAAGGGTGGGTCATCACATCCTATGCTGTGCAAAACTTAAGCAGTGTGTGTCTGGACTAAGGTTGTTTAACTAACACAGCTGAACTAGCTGTAAGTGGATTAGAGTTTCCAAGCTGCTGCTAGATTGACAGTAAAGTCTTGCATGACCTTAGACACATAGACAATAAGGTTCTTTTAGTAACAATAGAAAGTATATTTAATATAGGTACTGCAAAAATAATTGTCAAATATATGGATAAACCCAATATTTATAGAAGATTCAAATGGTATGGATAAGTAAAAATGCAAGGAGGTAACCAAATGAGAGGAATAGAGGAATCCAGGTCCAGGAGCAAACCACAAGTTTGGAACCAAATATAGAACATGGATGTAAGAACTAGTAAGGTAGCTCATATGTTCAGGATGGGCTGCAGATACTTTGTCTCAGGAAACACTGATTACTGGAAAAACCCTGAGAACCACCATGGTTAGTCAGAAAACTTGATTTTCCAGTCAATACTGTTAAAGAAAAAATTACTTCCCTGCATGTATACAGGGATACAGGGACATACTATTATAGGCTTATAGAAATTCAAATAGAAATAGAAATTCACATAGTTATATGGGTATAGAGAAATTCACCCCTCAGCAATTCACAGTATCTTTAATTTTAAAACTATAAATTGGATTTAAAGTTTTTTTTAAACTTCAGTCAGCAGGCAACTGGTCACCATCTGTACAGGTCACTGATAGATAATGGGAATAGGCTCTTTGATCTAGTGGGGAAAAAGATGTGACAGGACTGAGTGGGAAAAACTGGAAGTTAAGTTCTAACAGAAATAAGGTACAGCATTTTTATTTTTGTATTCTCAATATTTAATTGTGATTGGATTTTCATTAATTAATATATTAAAAAAGAATGGCTTTTTAAAAGGTCACTTATCTTCAGCCAGAGCTCTTACCTGAGAAGAGTTATTTCAGGAAGGTTGTATGTGGCTTCTGTACAAGGGTTAGTCAGTCTATCAGGTAGATATCTGATTTCCTCTTTGCCTTGATCTAAAAATCATTCTAGTGTGGTATCATTAAGAGAAGCAATGGCTTAGTTAAAACTGAATTAGCTTTATTCTAAATACATAAAGGACCAATAGCTAAAGATTTTTTTCATTTCTTAGGTAAGTCTACAAATCTTTTTTGGCAAGCTTTTTTCATCTCTCCCTTCTTCTTCATATCTTGAAGAGGTACACCACTGCTACTTTTGGACAAGATTACAAATAGAGAAGGTCTTCGTAAAGCGCTCTAGTATGCCTAGTCACTTACCTTTAGCATCTGATTGAATGAATCTCCCAAGCTGGTCCATGTGGCCGTGCTTATTTCAGTAAGGAAGGAATGGATAACAAGTTGCCTTATCACTGTGACCACTGGTAGGTAATGGCTTTTATAGAAAATTAAATGGGAGGTGATACTCGATGACACATAAGACTGGGCAATTTACCAGCCAGGGTTGCTATGTTTTACCTTTCATTAACATGGTCTGCAATGTAAAGAAAAGATTATTTTTATTACAGGGTCAGATGTACACATTTATATACATTTCAAATACATAATATGCTAATAATAGTACAAGTGCAGGCTTGTCTTGTGTATTGCATCACTTTGCAAATTTCTTTTATATTTTTCCCTTTTGCTTTAGAAAGACCAATTATCTTCACTAAAATACTGGGTTGTTCAGAACTGAATAGCTTCTCTGGAAGTAGATAAGGAGCTCTTCCTGCTCTGGAGGGCAATAAATGCCTACCACAAAGTTCCCACCAGCAGCAGGATGGTTCAACCACACTTTGAACAGCTGTCTTCATAACCAGCTACAGATTTCATGTTCTTGTGGACTTGGCGAAAAAGAGCTGTTATTCCTGAGAATTAAACCTGTGGGCAAGGATGAAAATACATGCGAAGTCAATCATTCCAGCAACTCCTTATGAAAACGGACAGAGACTGCTTTTGTGCTAGATGCACAGTATGATCTTGTTTGAAACTTGTTTCAAGAAAAGAACTGAATATCTAGTAAAAGAGAATAAAAGTATTAGAAAATTCAGACTTGGGATACACTTGATCAATGCTTTACGAAAGAATAAAGAAACGCCACTTCACATTCCCTGTCTGATCGGCTTATTTCATTTTCTCTGTTAGTAATAATCCACTTGATCACCTACACTGTTCTTGGGTTATGAGGTGTATTAGCTTGGCTCCTTGGTGCCCCAGTGTCTAGTGGTTTGCTTACTGTTTTCTGGCTGTGTTGTTAATGCTACAAGAAGCAAGGTAAAGCACTGAACTCCATTTAGGTATTCCTGTGTGACAAGATTTCTGTATTGGGCTTCTTGGAATTCCCAGCTCTGTCTGTCACTGCTGCTGGGGAAAACTTTGCACCATACATGTGTTCACTCAAGCAGTGAAGTGCTTAACAATAAACTGATTTTCAACATCTGTATGTAACTCAACCACAACTAATGCTCTGCTGAGCAGTTGCCAAGCGCTGCAGATCCATTGAGTCCTATTAATAGCAACCACTCTAATTCACAAAACCCAAACCTGAGTTGCTTGAATTCTTAAAACAAATTATGTATTTTATACTGCTATGTGCATAGAATTAAGAAGCATAGTGTAAGTTAGTTGCTCTCTATACAGCAAATTATTCCTTTTAGTTTTCTTTTTTTAAAAAAAACCCCTGCATTGCTGTCTTACAAAGAGTTTTTATGCTTATACAATACTTTAGATGAACAAGGCTTGTGTTGTCCTACTGTGTTTTACATAAGAAATTAATTTTTAAAATTTTCTTTCTTTTATGGTTGTTTTACATTAATTCTTAAGCAAACACTAGGGGGCGAAGACCAACAATCTTGTGTTTGTTCATCCTTCCCAAATGGCTTGCACAAATAGCTTTGAGGCTGTAAATTGATCACAGGCAGTGTGGTCTGTCCACTCACTCCTAGCAGTATGTATCTGGTTATCTAAACCACACGTTCCCTGGTACTTAATGCACTAAAGATTAGGAAAACTAGCTGATGACAAAGGTGATTGCCATTTTTTGTATTCACACATACCATGAATTCTGTACTCAAACTGTTATTTGAAGTCAGTGCTGTTCAGGTCTTCTCTTATGGTGCTAAATTAAAAAATAATGCTGCACCCAGCATAACTACATAGCTATTTCCTAAAACAAATAGATAATGTGTTACTGATAAAGTTAATACTTTATAGCCTGGTTGCAGCAAAATGTCTTCTAAGAATTCTTATCTGCTACTGAGAGAAAATACATGCACACACAAGTAGGTATTTGGTGTATATTTAGCTTTCATTGGACAATTTTTTTTTAGAAAATGTTGAAGTGTTTCTTTCCAACTCCTGTTTCATTGCATGAGACTCTCTGTAAGTGCTTTCTCAACATTAATGCTTCTGATGTTTTGCTTAGCTCTCTTTTTTGATAGAAACATCTCAAATATTATCCATTTTTAAGACCGAAGAAGTAATGCATTTGGTAATATAGCAGACTGCGACTACTTTTACTTAATTCATACAAACAGTATTAGCGAAAAAAAAGGGGAAACAGAGAAAAAAATGATCACCATCTGAGTTGTTATAATGTATTGTCATTGCCGTTTTATGGCAAATGCTAGTAACTAACTGTATATGCAAGCATCTGTCTTGCTCCTTCCTTCAAAGCATGTACTCCCATTGGATTCAGCAAAGGGGGGGCAGGGAGGTGGAGGGGTCTGCAAAAGAAGGACCTCAAAGAGGGTGTGAGGACTCATTGAGTCTTTCTGCATCAAGGAAGAATCAGCTGTGACTGGAGAAATTGTGACCTCTCATTGTTTTCTAGTGCTTACAGATACTAGAAGTTTCTTTACTTTTTGTTTTCTCATGTCTGTGTTATCTTGCCATAATTTAAACTGGTTGCTCCTTTTCCCATCCCCTTGTATGTTGAAAATTGCTCATTACTCTTCCTTTTGAAAGAAAGGTATTTATCACTTTTCCCTCACAATCTTCTCTTAGTTATACAGGTCAATTCTTTCCATTTCTCTTAACAGGCCATATTTTCTACATCAAACATTCATTGTTCTTGCCATCCTCTTCTGAACCCTTGCCAAGAGGTCTTCATCTATCTTGAAGAGTGATTCCCAGGATATAATATAACAGACAAATTCTTTCTGATGCTGAATGGAAAGGAGGGATTCCATGCAATGTAGAAACTTTCCATTTAAAAATGCTGGTATAAAATTTTCTCTTTTCACAGCTTTGCCTTTTGTTGGTTAACATGTTATGTTTTAGTAACTGAAACATGAAGCTAATTTCTAAACAATTTCTTACTTGCTAGTTTGGTTATCACAGCTGAAATTCAAAACTACTGCTCTTTGCATTATTGAAGATGCACATTATTAATTTCAAAACATTAAGGTAAGTGTGAATTCTAGCTCCCATCAACCAGCATGCTATTACACCTTCCAGGCTGTTCTCTGTTGTCAGTTTAAGAAATGTACAACCTATTCCACCATCCCAGCCATTAATGATAATACTGAATTGGATGAGATTAGCAAATTTTTATCAGCATTTGTCCTGAACTAGCCCTTTGCACTTGACAGCCATGTGCCATGGAGTAAACAGCAGCATAAATTGAGCCACGTGGAGACATTGGGAGTAGCTTATGGCTCCAGGTTTGGGCTTCACAATAGCTGACTGGTAATCAGAATTCAGCCATTCTGTACTAAAGAATTGCATCCTGCAATGTGTGGCTGCAAGGCATTGACAGAGGATAGTTTGCATTGGGACAACTCTGTGGCATGTATTCAAGATATGTTGTTTTTCCTAAGCTTATAGTTCTGGCTGATATTGATGGATTTCACTGATGAAAGGATGGTGTTTTGGCAATAGCAGTGAAAGATCATTTTCTTCATACTTGGGGAATAGCTATCAGTCAGAACATGAGGAAGATAAATGGTTCCTCTGGGACAATTCTGAGAGCTGGCTGCTTCACTGTTGGAGTACAGCTCTCAGGCAATCTGCGAAAGCACAATCAGCATGAGTGCTGTATATTTAGAAAATACAGGTGTAGGATGAACCAGTGGTAATCTTAGAAGAGGTTCTTTTTAAGCACAGCTTGGATCAGGCAGGAGATTTGCTACCAGCATTAACAGAGTCAGATACTGTGCAATGTGAAAGAAATACTGCTGCATTCTGCTGAGCCACAAATGAGAGACAGCAGGGGTGAGGTTGTGCTGGGGAATGTGTGAAACACAAATGGAAGTTAAAAGCATGCTGGGAAGTGATGGCACAGTTATTTGTGTTTAAGAAGTTGAGCAAATGCAATATCTAAAAAAAAAAAAGAAATAGTCTTTCCAGCACTATCTCGTCTCTTTGTTTGTAGTTTGCAAGACCTTGAGCTCTGTTCCTCCCCCAGGTACAAATGTCTGATTGGATTATTAATATTGCATCAACTTTAAGCTTGTTTGTTTTAGCCCAGAGTCACTAAATTTTAGTTTTCTTAAAACCAACTGTAAATTTCAAACGCTAGTTAAATAGCAAGTCTTGTTTTGAAAATCACAAAACACTCATTTCAGTAGAGGACATGTTTTGGTGCCAAGTTTATTTTCTCCCCTTCACCTTCCTTTTATGTGTCTTAATTCACCTGTCTTCCTCTTATTATATTATTAAATTGAGTGAGGAAGAGATTTTTGTTCAGTGTTTGCATAGCAGCCAGCACAGTGAAGTTCTGGCTTAGGCTACTGGGGGCTTCACCTATGCAATTTGAGTTCTACCTTGTCAACCAAAACGTACCAGCAGCTGCTGTATTGCATTTCACTATTGTAGTTGTGTGTTTGTTGTCCAAGAGGCAAATTCTTTTATCACTATAATTCTATGGAATTAACAATGCAGCATCTATACATAGAAAAGGTATTTTCCATTTGATTACTTCATCTCACAGTGGTCACAATAGAACCTACACAAGTGTAAAACAGAGTGTCTGGGACTGAAAAGGTATAGTACACTTACTTCTCATTAGCTGTGACTTAGTACCAAATGGAAATGAAAATTACTTGATTATTTGGCAGGAAGTTTTAAACTAATACAGGGAAATACTCTTTCACATGATATGAACTTCAGTTACGGAACTCATTGCTGCAGGCTGTGGATTCACAGAAGGGTTATAAAAGGCAAGGTCACAGATATCTTAGGAAGTCCTAGGCTATCAACACTGGAAAGTTAGATAAATATACTGGGGAAATTATCTCACTGTAAGCTTGCTTTTCAGTTTGTTGGGTTTTTTGTTTGGTTGGGGGGGGGTTGTTGAATTTTTTTTATTTTAAAATGTTTGTTTCTTTTGTTTTAATATCTCTTCCCAAGACTTCTTTTACTTTTTAGTAGAAACCTTTCGGTATGACACGACTTATTTGGATCTTTGACTCACTGCAGCCACTGTTACATAGGTAGAAGCCAAGTGTGCTGGGTGACTCCTAGTCTGCAATTATGGGATAACAGTGTTGGGAAGCTTCAAGCGTCACTTGTTTGCAGCCAGGAGTTCTCTGAGCTCTTTCTTCAAGTTAACAAACATTAGGAAAACAAATTGATCTGTGATGATTTTGTAATCAGAATGACAGTTTGAACAGCAGAATGGGTGACACAGTCCAAACACTTGTGTGTGCATTTTTTCTTCTCCATAAGTGATTTCATGTAGGAGAACTTGAGATCTGGGTAGGGTCAACAGGTCACTTCTAATGCACAATCTTGTTGGATTCATGACAATTTATAGGAGGTCATTCTTACTTACCCGTCCTCATCAGACTAATGCTCTAGACAGAGAGCCCCACACAGTAAGAACATGCAGATGCCTGGCTTCAGCTGTGTCTGTAAATCATGCTACAGGCCACCTTTGCCTTACATCAAACCTCCCCTTGGCCAGGCTAGAGAGAGGCTCCCCTTTTGCCCATATGAATCACTTCTCTCAGTCCAAGTAAGTTCAGTTTGTCTCTGGTCTACAACCCTATTGCAGTCAGCACAGCCACTTCACATCCACCTGGGGAAGCAGAGGTGAACAGAAAGAGGACAAAGGTGGATTAAAAAGGGTGCTTAACAATTCCCATGCTTGGTCATGAAGGCTGTGACAGTTCATTTGAAGGTCACAAAGAGCAGTTCTGAGAAGCTGTGAGGGTTTTTTTCTGCTGTGTTTAACTGTTTGTCTTGTGTTCAGCTCAGTCACAAAACAGAACATTCTCACTGTCTACTGAAGGTTAGATGTGATGAAGTCTTTTTATCTGACTTTCATGCTTTAAAAGTAAATAAACGAATACTAAATAAAAGCTCAAGGGCACACACACTCTTGGTTTTTACAGCCTTGCTCAGTCATCCACAGCATGAACAGCAAGTTATGTGTGTGGTTACATCTACTTCTTTGTAGTTCTGATTATTCAGCATGAAAAAGGGAACTGATGGTACATTTTGTGGAAAAAGCAACACCATCATTTAAAATTAAGGTATGTTTTGCTTTCAGATATATTCACATCAAGGAGCTTTTTTCATCAAGACTTGTTTATGATCATGCTAGTAGAAAGAAATGACAAAGTAGCTGTAAAATCTCTGTCAGGACATAAAGGCCACTCAAACCACTCAAATAAAAATCAGTTCCCTACAGCGAGCCTCAAATCTGAGCAGCATGACAGAAGCACATTTATTTCTAAGGTGTCTGCAGCCATGCCAGAGTTCAAGGCTCTGAGCTGATCCAAACCTGTGGTCTCTTGTAACCTCTTGTCCTGTCATCTGCACTGCCAACAGACAGTTTCATAATCAGGTAGTAAAAGTCACTAAAAAAATTAATTTACTACCAGGTTTGTTACACACTTTGAAGCCTTACTGGGATCAGATGAAGGCAGCCAGCAAGATGAATGACTGACAGTTCTGTATTGTGTATGCTTTTATTTCAGAGGTTTTCAAGTCCTCAATAAGACCTCTTTTTCCACTGATCTTGGACAGTTAGAGATCTGTTGTAGTTAGAATGGTTAGAAAGCTGAACTCAGCTAGCGTGAGATTGAATTTTCTTACATGAATGGATGTAAGGATAATATTATCCATAATGTTACCTACCTTTCAGGAATTGGTCAGTCTAGAGCTTTGGAACCAATCAGCTATGAGGTCCCTAAAGAAGGAGTTTGAAATGTTGGAAACACTGGAAATAAGTTTCTCAATTGCTGTAGTCTGGCTGATTTATTTGATTGACTGAAGCTTGTCTCTTGTCTGTTGCTGAATCAGAAGAGCAGTTTGTATACTGCTTGGTTAGATAGTATTCCCAGCTCGATTTCAGGTGAGTTTGCTAACCCTGAACGAATTAACAGTAGTATTACTTCCCAAATAGGGAGTTAATGTTTTGTTAAGCACAGAGTGTAAAAGGGCTCTAATACTTCAAAGTCCTTTATCTACTGGGAAGGCAATGCAAAGACTGCAAGTCAGAGATCATTGCTCTGGAAGTTTATTATTCTCTGTGCTCCACAGAAGAAAATAAAACTGCACAAGAAAACAGACATTAACTTCTTTCGTGAGGTTAAGGGTTCAATATTTTTCAACTGTCCTTGTTTTTACTGGTTTCACACTCTTTCTTTGCTTGTGACATGAGAAAAGATAACAGAAAGCTTGATTTCATTATACAGCCTCAGTCTGGATATTTCAGGTGAAGATATATATGTATGACAAGACAATAATTCCTTTTCCACACCTTTGAGATCTATGGATGTGCAAGATTTTTACATTTGTAAATCAGGCTGTTGAGGGCAAATATGTGAAAAGCAGTTTTCAACATTTAATTTCTGATGCACACGGCAGTGCAAAGTCTTCACTTTCATCTCTAGTTGTCTGCATTGCTGAGCAGATGTGTAGATGTGTGTGGGGAGAGGATTATTTTCCTCTGTCAGGTTTTAACATCATGAAGGAAGAACACCTTGACCTTGCTTGGTGGGTCGCCTCAGTGAAGGCTTTTCTGAATACTTTTCTTGTGGCTCAGCTGAGTTTTAAGCTAATATGTGTAAAGCCTGACAAATGACATATGGCTGAGCAGGGTATACATCCCATCACCCAGGCACTGCATATGAATTTTTTTATAAGCAAACTACTCTTAAGTGACCAGAACAGCTGAAACCACCACACAGACACCACTAAGCAGAGCAAGTCTTGCAGAAAGCAAATGATCTAGGGTCACAGAAGCCCTGTAGTTTTTGTTTGCAGTGAAACTGACCATTAACCTTTTTTTTGGAAAGGGCTGGTGGGCAGGAAAGAAGTGCGTACTAGTTACATGTTACTTCATTGTGTGTTAAGCTGATGAATAAATAGAATTGAGCAACATTCGTCAATAAATGAGAGCAAAACTTTTGCATGAGGAGATAAAATCAAGAAATTGTTATGAATTAAGCCACTGAAAAACCAGCATGACATATACGTGATTACTTTTTGTTTTTTTACTTAATCTGTGTGCATTTTTTGAAAGTATGTGTATTACTTGAAACCTCTTCGAATAAGAACTATGCAGTCTGCCCTAAGAATATGATTCTTCTTCCCCTCAAATCATCCTCCATAAGTTTCATTTTTTAAACTTAAAAGTATCTTGATACAAGAGGCTGAAAGTTAAAAACCTACTTTAACAATTTCTGTATTTATTAAATACTGCCTTTTTCTCACACACAGACGTCTCATTGACTTACTCATTACACCAATTTCCAAAGAAGCAACTGGTGGAGACCTTGCAGTAAAAAGTGTGTGCCATAGGACAAAACAAGCATGCCAGCCATTCCTTTTTTAACTGGTTGAAAAAAACCCACAACCCTGGAGAGCCAACAACACATGAACTTATTGACCTTTGTGCTGTGATTGTTTCTGTAATTATTGAATAGTGGGGATGGGCTGAGGGCCAAGGAGGGGAATTTGGGGGTTGGCCTAGGCAGTGAGATAAGGTTACATATAAGGCAGCAGCAGCAGATTTGGGAATACCAACGGAGTATATTCCCTGGTGTACAGCTTAGTGTGTTTGGATCCTGGAATCATGAGTGGTTGCCCCTTTGCGGGGAAGAATTACCTGTGAGTCCTTCCTCTTTGTGTTTTGCTTCAAAAATTCAGTTCTAATGATACAGCATTAATGCAAAATATGAAAGCTCAGAAAGAAATTATTTATTAGCAGCAAATAGACAGTTGTAGCTCTTGCTAAATGAAAAGAGATCATACAAGGACTTGTCTGAGCACTTGTTATTTGATGAACTAGATGTAATGCTACGGGCTGTTACCGTGACAAGGAATTTCAGGTGTACTATTTTTCTCAAAAGCCTGCTTTACTTGTTCTGTTTCTCAAATAAAGCATTGTTTGAATTGTAGATGCATCTGTTAGTAAAAAGGGAGGTATATTAATAGTTCTTTAATTAAATGACATTACATATTTACTTAATTCTTCTCTTAGATTTAATTTTAACAAACTATCTTTGGAAGATGAAAATGAAGACAAATCACAAGAAGGAATAAATAAAGCCAGCAAAGGTGGACTTATTTATGGAGAATACCTACAAGTAAGTTTAAGGATTTCTTGTTTGCTGTCCTGGTTACTCTTATGATTTGAGGCAGGACCTGTGATTGACACTTCTCCCAGCAGTCAGCCAGTCACTAAGACAGGTCTCCAAGTTCCCTTCATCTACATGAGCTCTCCATGTGTAGTAACAGGCACAGATGCCTGTCTCAACTGGAATGGTGCAGATGGACTGTGGGAAGGCTTCTCAAACTGTGAGGAAGATGAGTGTTTTGAGCGGTTTGGTAGGGAGTTATTCATATTGGTAAACCTAAACTGTAAAGTGGTGCACCACAAAATGCTTTCTTTGGTCTGACAATCACTATCTGGCAATTTCTCCATGTCAACAGGTTCTGTGCAATTTCCTTGAATTATTTAATGAAAGCCCAGAACATCTGGCTGAAAAAATATATGCCAGAAATCTAGGGGATAGGATGATTACCAAGGGGGACAAAAAAACCCAAACCCAACCAAGACCTGCAAAAACTAGAAGTAATTAAGAAATAAGTAAAAATAAAATGTCATAGGCAATAAAAGAATCTAGATTTTTTTTCTTTTTCTGACAGCATGAACTGAAGTGAGAGGAATTACTCTGTGCTTGTTAACTAATCTGTTGACATTTGTTCTACTGTATGGAATCTTGCAAAGATTTCTTTTCAGACAACTATAATTGGATTGTAAATTTGACTCAGTTAAAAAAAATAGTAATGCCAGAACTGAAATGTCTAGTACAGCCTCAAATCAGACTCTTATGCAGATATTCCTGTATGTTTACATGAAATTTTACTGTAGAAACCCCATTTTCATTGAACATGACAGTATACATGTAAGATCTGGAAAACGTGCTGGTTTTGTTGTTGTTTTGGGTTTTTTTAAAATAATTAAAAATACCCTTAAAATGATTTTCTGAAGTTTATTATTTGATGTACCTAAATGTTCTATTTTAGGCAAGATTTTTTTTTAAATTTAAAAGTAAAAGTCATACCTGAGACCATTTAGTCTAGCTTCTCGTATAACCTAGAATGTGAGGTCCATAGGTATAGTTTTTAAAAATATTATCCTTAAATATTAGCTGTACACAGTAGGACTACCATTTCTCGTAGCAGAATCAAGAGTTTTACAGAACAGTCTTTTTTATTATTATTTTTAAGCTGAACAAGATATTGAATGCTCAAGAACTCGAGAGTGAGAAGAAAGGGAAAAAAATCCATGATGAGCATCTTTTCATTGTGACGCATCAAGGTAAGTGGGAGGAGTTCAGTGGGGGTTTAGTGACATTTTTGCTACAGGGAGTTATTTGTTGCTGAAACATGCAATACACAGTTTGTTTGCTATGCAGTTTATTGTAGGCAAATTTTGTGTGATCTTGTGCCTTCTCTGAAACTTCAATCCAGTTTTAACCATCTAGAATCTGTCTAGAAGTCAACATACTGATTAGGGACTCCCTAACTGCTCATATCTACCTGTTTCGCAGGCCCTGGCCTGATGATATTTTCCTGTTATTGACAGGAAACATGTAGATTGTAAGCAGCTCTGGAGTTAGCTTTTACTGGAGTACCAGATTTGGATTTTCTCTTTCCTCCTTTTGTAATGAACGTTCTGTACAACAAATATCTGATGTGTAAAACATGTTTTAAAAAATTCTGTCAGCATTCTTGGCTCTACATTATTTTGTGTAATACTTCAAGTAAAGGACAGCATACTGTAACAGGTAATAAGTTTGTGTGTCAACATATTTTTGTACGCTAGCAGGGTAAGTGTAAGCTATTAATTTCAAATCAAAATATAAGAATTTCAGTTTCTCAGTGCTAGGAAGAAAAAACAAGTAGCCTCAAAGCTGATGCTAATGGTGCCTTTCTTGTTGTAGCATACGAACTTTGGTTTAAGCAGATTTTGTGGGAAATGGACTCTGTGCGAGTGATCTTTCAAAATGGCCACGTAAGTTAGAAGCAAATATTAATTTCGGGAAAATTCAGCCCAGTCTTTCTCTTGCCTCCTGCCTTTCAGCCTGATATATTTGGGTTTACTAAAGCACCATGTTCATGTTCTCTTTTCAAAAATAGCATCAAAAAATGATGCCAATGAAATTTGGCTGAGTGGCTCTTATATCCGGATAGTAGAGATTTTTGATCAGCAAAATCTTATTTCCCCCTGAAGTATGCCTTTTGCATAGATCACCCTCCAAGAGCAATTTCATTGGCCAAAATGCTCTCATAATGCTCTCCTACTAGTACTGGGCAACAGGAGAAACTTAACTTGGAAATACTCTACTGCAGAAAAACCAGGCTCAAAGGCAAAACTGAAAACCAGAGGGCTCACAGGTATTTTTATGACGAAAAATCGCATCTGCCTTTGCTCAGTTTTTCAAGTTTACATATAGTATCCTTCTGTCCAATATCTGCTGTGGGAAAGAAAACTCCTTTGGTAGTTGTGTAATATTAAATACAACAGAAAAGCAAGAAGAAAATCACATTGTGTGAGAATTTCTGAAAATGACAAATATAACAGTAATATTTTGAACATCTCTAAACATTTGTCTAAAGCTGAACACTTAAGCTTATAACAATAGGTAACAATGGAAAAC